ATCTTGTAAGAGCTTCTTGTCAGTCCATCAGCTTTTTAGATTCCTTTGGTATTCTTATGTCACGTGCCCAAAATTAGAGAAATATTGTGCAGTTCACCTAAAGAAATATAAAGAAATCTTCCCTAACATTGATGTTGCTATACATATTACCAAATATCAATACATATGTTATATAAATAATAATATATAACTTTTGTGTTTATTTTACAATTTGTAAACATTTTTTTTATTTTTGTGAACAAAACATATTTCAAGTCAACTAAAATATATTTATAAATCTTCGAATTGATAGCTAATATGAAAATATATAAAAATCAAATTAAATAATATCAATTAATATTATTTTGTATTCGTCCTCTATATAGTTGAGAAGTTTCAACAGTTTTGCCATGTCGTACTGTACATCCATATATGCTTGACTTATTTCGGAAAAGTATCTCAACTGAAACATTTTAATAATTAATTTCTGCAGTGTTGTAATCCTTTCCAAACGTTCCTTGTACCGATTTTTCATCGCACGTATGCTATTCTTGTGTTCGGAACGTAGATCATTTAGAATCAATATTTTTTGCTTACTAAATTCCATTTCTAGACATTTATGCAAATTTGCATTAAAAATCTCGTCCAAAGCGTTCACTTTTTTCGAAAAATTATTTTCAGTGAAATCCTTGAATAAGTTCTTAAATAAGTTTGGAGGCTGCACCTGCTCTTCGTTATTTACTTCCAGTTCCTGTATTTGTTTTATTAAACAAAATTGAAAGGATTTTTTAATTTTTTTGAATTTCTCACAATACTGATTATTCTCATTTATAGATTCCAACAACTTCTCCTCCAATATTGAATTTTCAATCTCTAAGTTTGTGAGATGAAGTTGTGAAATATCCACACTGTTTTTCAATTCAACATTTTCAGCACTGATCTTATTTCGGTTCAGTTCTCGTAAAAGATCGGGTTTAATACGAATTTGATCGGAATGTGGATGACAAATACTTGACTTACTTTTCAATTTATGTGGCTGTGGTTGTGACTTATGCTGTGATCTTGGAACTGATTTTGGTGGCAACTGTGCAGATGGGATACCAATTTTCCTGGATAACTCTGCTTCTCGCAAAACTTCTTCCAAATTTCGTTTGCAGTTTTGTAGATTAGTAAACGGTAATGTCAAATAGCCCATCGTTTGTAAATGCATTTGCAATAAATCGCAAAGGCAAATCCTTGCTAGTTTCTCTTTCTTACAGTCTTTTATATTTTTAAAGGCATAAAGCCATTTGCGACAAATATCGATATCATCTTTGCTTGGATGTTGCAGAATTAAGGATCGCAAAATTTTAAGTTGCCCAGTAAAAACACTGTCTAACGTTTCATCACTTATCTGATTACTAGCCATATTGTAACTTGATGAGGAGTCCATATTTTGAAATTTTCTTTCGATAAACTCAATAAAATGTTTATTTGAAATAAATGACTAGGTATAAAATTTATGAAAATTTTATATAAAGTTTTCCAATTAATTCATGTCTGCTACGTTTTTTTTATTTATAAAATTTATCTTAAAGGTTTTTCAATGAGTAATCAATGCAAAACTTCACTAATTAATAAGCTAGATGAACTCGACAAAGAAGCGATTACTGATCTCATTAAGACATGCCTAAAAATATATCTAAAACCATTTTTAAAGATAAGCAAAACATAAGAACTTCGATAGGTAATTTTAAATTTAAGTTAATATGGGAAAGGTCTTGTCAGGTTTTTAGTCTGAATAATCAATTTAAATAATACCACAATTCACATAGTAAAACATATTGGATGAATCTTTTAATCTTAATATATAAATTTGAAAATTTGATACTCTTAGTGCTGACTCGATTTTTATCTCGATTTCTGGTTTGAAAGCATAAGAACGTGACATTCAATATATATAAAAACTGATACCATCTAACAATGATTTTCGCACAAAAATGTTCAGTTTCTTTAAAATTAGTTAGGCTTGCCATTCTTATGCTTTTCATAAATTTTACTATCCATGAGTTAATAGCCGATAGCAGATTCTAACTTCTAGACAAAGTACAAATCGTATATAAAGTACAACACTAAACTGAGTACGTTAAAAAAATCACAAATGAAAAATTTCTAATGATAAAAGATTATTATTTAATAACTGCAATTTCCAAATGAATTCTGCATTCGATAGTAAACAAATGAATTTTTAAGATAACTCAGAAAGTTTTCTGACAATCAGAATGCCTTAATCAAATTTATTTAATCGTGAATAGGAATCTTGATCAATTCCAACCATCTTCGTACTATCAGTCTAAAACGCTAAGCATTGTGGCTATGGATTTTCTTTAATTCTTTAATAGTTTAATTTATTTAATAGTGTTCCATCCTTGGCACCGGTTGTAAATGTGTTCCGGAATGTGTACCGAAAGAAAAATGGAACAACGTAAATAAGGAAACCTTTCGATTAATGTCTGCGCTCTTTACATTTGTGAATAAGTTTATAAGTGCGTTGGCGTTTAGAACCAGCGTCAGCATGTAACTTGTTACGATTGATCATGCAACCTGTTCTACTGATCGTACTATTATATTCAGTGATCAATGGATTCTTAATAGTATCTTCAATACTGTAATTGGGTTGTTTTTGGTAACTGGAATTTTCACCTTCAATAAGTTGACGTATATAGTTCGGGTGACATTCATCTGTTTCATAAAGATAACGCAATCTGTCATCAATGTTTATCTTCTTTGCTTCGCCGTCAAAATCTAATACCATCTTCTCAATGCTCGGTCTAGCTGTCTCTTCTGGGATGCCATAGCAATGTTGATAGGTTGTCATTGATGAAAACGTAGGTAGCTTATCTTGTTCTGAATATTTTTTAAAATTTTTTTCTAGCGCTACTTCTTCAAAATCTGCATGAAGTTCAGGGAATGAAACTTTTAACATTTTGTTTAATTCCTTTGGATGTTTATCGCAACCAATATCGACGTGTATATCAGAGAAACGATACTGAGTTGGAGTTTTGGAACTACAAGTTATAGCGCCTTTATGCCTTTTGAGGAAATCCTTAGTTACAGAGGCTGGATTGACGAAATCTGTGGTATAGATTGAGCTAAGCATATTGAAAATAAATAATTGCCACTATTATAATTTTGAATAACGAAAAATCTTGTGTCTGCACTAAGAATTTGGTTTCATTTCAAATGCGCAATTGCATAATGCAACAATCGCTTAAAAAATTCACAATAAATTATTAATTAGAAGAACATTTTTTTTAAACCTAATGATTTAAATTAAAAAACATATTTCATAAATATTGTATATTTAAATAGATTTTATTTTGACAAGTAAGTGGAGTGGAGTGGTTTTTGTGTTGTAATACCATATACAGATTACAAACAAATCGGACAATCATTATTATAAGTCTTGAGTACTCCTATTTATCAAGCTATCATTAGAGAACAGTCTGGGAGTATGGATAAAAAACAGTGGTACACCAACAGCATTAAAGTTGAAGAAATATTAATTGAATTTTACGATTTGTTGGAAGAAAAACTAATGGCACCTTTAGTCAATAACAGTTATTTTTGGCGACACTTTCTTTTTGCCAGTTGTTCTTAATTCATATTCTTCATATGTGCTTATTCTCTTTTAAGATCACCTATTTAACTTAATAGAGAAAGATCTTTTTGATCAGTCTTCAAGCATCCCTACAATATGGTCAGTCCATTTCAATGACATACATATGTACTTTTAATTGAAACTAGAAATTCTGGTTCTTGTTTGACAAAGTTTTTCTTATTTTTCTTTGATTTGTGGCAATTACGTCAGTGATTACCAAATTAATAAATAAATCTTACAGCGGGGCATCGATATATTTATTTTTTTTTTTTTATGCAACTATTGAAAATACTAGAGGTATGCACTTTGTCTTGCAAACTGATTGTAAAGTGCACCAAATGCACAAATTGCGCGAGCTTGCAGTGAACAATAATATACGCACAAAGTTTCTTGCAATTGCTTGCAATCTTGCTATAGCTATCCCCATGTATATATGCTTGCAACGAAACAAATAAGGGGAAAAAAACAGCTGTTATGACATCTGTTGCTTCTTATGTGGATGCAGTATTGTGCAAAAACAGCTGTTTAATTTTGTTGTGGCAATTCTGCAACAGAGGTGTTCTCGTACTCTTGCAATGTCAGTATAGCATTCTTGCATTTCGTGGCTCTTGCAATGAGTTTGCAGGACAAAGTGAATACCTCTACTATAATAATTTGATAAAATACTGCATATCGATTTCCTTGCAAGTTTTTAAAGTAGCTGTGTAAGAAAAATCAATTGAAAATATCTTTTTGAATAAATTTTGAACTTTCTTCACATTTCGGAAATGAGAACTACTAAAAAAGTAAATCAAATTTGTATGATTTAGCTGTGATATATATCTAGTTCTTATTTATAAAAAAATTTATAATTAACATATAGTAATCATATGGTAGTGTGTTAAAAAAAACTAATAAAACCCAGGAGTTAAAAGTTAGTCAGAGTTGGAGTCAATCAGGGATTCAGTTAAACAGCGATTGAATAATCTAAGTGAACTAAGCAGAAACTGTATTCTTAAAGAAGATTCTGTTTCTAGTAAAAGAGTTGGTTGTTACTGTTTTAGGGAGTTGCCAAAGACTGATTATAAAGACTGATCAGATCATATACTAAAAACTTAACTCATGTTAGTGAATATCTAAGATTATATGTTTGTTAACTTTCATTGAATATATATATAGATGTATATTAATTAAATTAAGAACGTTCTAACTCACAGCTCTTAAACAAATACTTACACACATATATGTATAAACCAAAGTCAGCATCTTATTAGAACTTAGGTAAATAAGTACATCTTTATATAAATTATGTTTACATACTTAAGATTAGACTTAAACCAATAACTATTTGTTTATAAACACTAATATTTTAACTATTTTACATACAACTAATGAAAAGCACCTATTCATCAAATTTTGTATCAAAAATGCTATCAGGCGTTGGCTTGTCTTCACCCTTATCGTCCTTTGAACTAGCATTACGGTCACATTTCATACATCCATCCGTACGTACTGCACCAGTAGGGATCTTTTTATAGATATGCATACATTTAAATAAGAATATATCTTTGTTAAAAAATGAAATACTTCAACAAACCTCTTTTATGGATAAGTTCAATGTGATTTCAACTGGACGTATTCTTTCTAATAATTGGTCAGCTGCAATATTGATTTCCTCTTCAAACTTCAAGCGAAAATGTAAGTCATTGTATTCCACTTTGAAGCAACTAATATAAAATAAATAAAAAAAATTTTCTATATACATACAAATTGTATTTTTAAACGGTTATATGTTCTACTTTTGTTACTTTTAATACTGAATGGATTTAGAAGAAATACTTAATATTCTTACATTTCGTATTCCTTCACGCCTTCAGCAGCGCAGTGGAAGAAATCATCAAACCCAACTCCAGTTATCGAAGAAATTGCGCACCTACTGAGGGTTTTGTAAAATGTGTCCGCTGTTCGCGAAACTAAGTGTGGTAGACCAGTTATGCTATGATGCAATGTCGCTTCATCAAGTGCTTCAAAATCTTTCATCCAATTCAAAGGAGTAGAATGATCCAGCACGTCAATCTGTTTAAATATATTTTTCAAATTATAAATTTTATATAATCAATAATTACTAAATGTTTATACTAAAATAAATACTTAATCTTTACAAACCTTATTTAGTGCCACAATGAATGGTAGACGTGTCTTACGCAATATCGTCATAACTTGTAACATGTGAGTCACAAATGTTACTGGATTCACGGATCGTACAATATCCATTATATAAACGACAATTGTAGGAAACATACAGGCCAATGATTTAGTGATTATTGTGCCTGCAGTAGAGCAAACGAATTCTTCTGCTGGACCTGGAGCATCAATGATACACCATCTATGTCCTCTTTGTCCAGCATTTTTAATGAACTTCAAAACTTTTTCAATCTGTATGGCGAATAGATTGACTGCTGTTTCTACTAAGCCCTTTGTTTCGAAATTGTATTGTTCAGTGATTTCATCAACTGTATCGTGGATATTAATATTACAACCGTATGGAGGTTGTACACAAGCAGGATCCAAATTAATAACATATGGCTTGAATTGATCATAAGCCAATTGTGCAAGTTTTCCTACGAATGTAGTCTTCCCAGACCCACCCATTCCTAAAACTATCACACAAATTGGTTCACCTACAAACCGATTTGCCGCTTTTGTTATTATCTGATTGATATCCAAGCTTTCAATCATTTCTTGCTGGTTTTTATTTTTTAAATATTAATGATTAAGCAAATATTTTATGCAGAGGAGAGGAAATAGTGTTGTCAGTATTTTTCAATTGCATTAACCAAATGTCATCGTTTTTTTAGTTGTCAAAAGATTTGGATCAAAGAATACTTTACTGCAAAGAATATACATTATAAGAATGGCAACTCCATTGTGAACTAATATTTGTTTTTTCGAACAATAATAATATGCCATGGAGCTCCTTAAGGTGTTGGTGAAAAACTCACTAGCACCAGCTCTTCTTCCATAGTTGTAAAAAACAGCATTAAGTCTGGTTGAAATAAATTGGCATCACTTTTTTAAATATGTTAAATGCTTATTGTTGACATATATTTTTTGTTGTGTTGTGTAAAGCATGAAAAGTAAAAATTGCAAACACTAAACATAAATTAATTTATATAAAAGGAAACAAACTTGAGACACAAAATTTTTTGCTAGTAAAACCTGACCCCAACCCCAACCCCGCTCTAACAAACCTTAAGTGCACCTCAGGATGCACAGAAAGATATGCTGATCTACGGTCCGTCATCAGTTAGAAAATAAATAAATTATAATGATTCTAGTATAGTTAAAGTTTAGTGTGGGACAGGGATAAGCCCCCCAGCCATAATATAGTAAAAGTGCGCAATAGCACTAACTCAAATCACAACAACAAAAACTAAAAATAAATAAATTTAAATAAAAAAAAAAAAAATGAATATTAGAAAGGCAATAGTAAGCATTTTTATCTTATATATTTAAAGTAATTTATTTATTTAAGTATTTTAATTTATCAGTGAATGAAAAGCTAATATGACATTCACAATAGACTGATTTTTGAATTTGGCTGCGTGAAATCTTGCAAAAATGGCTCTCAGAAGGATCCGTAGCCTTTTCCGTCCCACGAAAACTTAGCAAGTTTCACAGAGCGCTTAATGTGCGTACTTATCTTGCTGATGACCTTGCAGGTTAGGTTGAGAGTACTCGCTAGGAAGTGTGGCTCTGAACTCTAGATCCCATAAGAGCCAGAGTCAACCCTCATATGGCCACCATGTTTACATAGATAATTTTAAGACTTTAATTCTGAAAGCTATAACTTCTAAGTAGTAAACATCTTTATCTCAACTTTCTAAACACAGGAATGAAGTTTTACATATTGACCTCAGGGACAATGGAAGAAATTTTTTCCATTCATTTCTGAAAAGTGGTTTCAATAAAGTTTCAAACCAAGCTTTATAATATGCATGTCGATGCTTTCCACCTACCACAAAAAAAGAAGAAGTAAGTAATAATTATCATTTTAAGTTCATTTAATAAAATGTTAAACCTATCTGCTTACCCATCTGCCCTTAATTACTGGAAATGGGTTTCGACAAATAACTAAACAGTAATAAAAAATTAAATAGTCATAATGAAAGTAAGTTTGTGAAGATAATTGACACTTAAGAAAAGCAAAGCAAAGTGTTCTACTCTTTTACGCAATTAAAAAAAATTGAAATAACAAAAATAAATTTCATGTCTTCTAATACTTGAATGTACTATACATATAATGATGACATCTGTTAAATAAAATAAACATCAACGCAGATAATACGAGAAATTACAAACAAAAGTCTGGAAAAGTGTTTGATTACAGAGAAAGCGCTACTTTTGAGTGTGCCCTGAAATATACAACCGTTATTCGTACTTTCAATATCTTGTGCATTAGCTTCTAAACTCTTCCTCCTATAGGCATTGTACGTCTGTTTCATTTTATTTATTTACATAAAAAATGAAATAATATATCTAGTGGAATTCAGTTTCATTTTTAGTTGCACTATCTTAGTAAAAGATATATTTAATCCTTTAACTCTCAGGAGGAGCATTGGGTCGCAACAAATATCTTCCACTCGGTACGATTGGTACCAGTAGCTTCAACTCTCTCCAGCTTTTCCGCATGTGTAACATTTTCATATCGATTTGCCTTCTCCAGGTGTGAGCAGGTCTGCCCGTTCTTCTGCTTCCCATCGGGTTCCACTCAATCGCCATTCTTGTGGTGTCACCAGTCGGTCTACAAAGTGTGACCGATCCAATCCCATTTGTGTTTTTTGATTTCATTTCTTATAGGTATTTGTTGAGTTAGAAAATACAGATTGAATTATTATACATTTGTGATTCTATTCAAACAAATAGATATATATAATAAAGCATAGTTGTGTATTAAGCATGCGGTGAGTAATAGCGGTTAAAGCAAAATTTTCTTAACCCACCCACTTGCTTATCTTATCAGTGCCTGAAAACCGATTATAGTTTTCAAAAACAAGAGAAGCAAACATAATTCTTAACACTTTGCAGAAAAAATTTTAGATTACTTTTACGATACTTCACTTATTTATTTATTCTATTTCTTGTATTTACAGTGCCAACTTATTCTACGCATTTCTCAGCTCATGCATTTTTTCATAAGAAGTGCATCTTCTTCGTTTAGCTTCCATAAAATTTTGCTCACCTTATGTTTAAAGTTCTAACAAAAACTACAAGTGCAACTAAGAATAAAAACAACAATAATAACAACAAATACTGCGACTAAAAGGTAGCATTTATGGATGAATAAAGCAGGACTACAACAGAAATTGATGGCAGTAAGAAATATTCTTCGCATTTTGCACTTACGTAAAGCGCATTCCGTAAAAAGCATAAGGACCCGACGTCATTCACTTGTAGCTTCTTCACTGGTGCTTTACTTCAGGATTCTTTACTGTCTGTTTCGGTTTCGGTTTCGGTTCCTGTTGTTGTTATTGTTGTTATTATTACATCAGTAACTTTATGTTGGAAGCATTTTATACTTTAAAAGTTTTGAGCTCACTTCTGTAGAAAAAAACCTGTAGTAGCACATTGAGGAAGTGCCATTACAGCTGGTACTGTGACAAAAAACAAAAAACTTTCCTACTTCGTCCTTTTCAGTTCTATAGTTCAACACTTATATTGGAGTTGGAGTTAGAGTTGGAGTACGAGTTGCAGCTGCAATTATGTTGGCTTTATTTGTTGTTACTGGAATTATAATGCTTTGATTATGTTATTAAAAACCTTGTAATGGTTCCTTCAACTCTTCGTTTAGTCGGGATGATGCGCAACATTTACTGCACCGTTTTGGCTTTATAGTAGTGTACATTTGTACAAACAAATTAAAATTGATATCACTCTAAGTACTGAATCGACCACTTGAACTACCAGTTTGACTTCAATTGGCATTAAATCATAATATATTCTTGAAGTCCGTCAGCCATGACTTTGAATTAAATTCAGAAATTGACGGAAGGAATTTAACTAAGCAGTAATTCTAAATAAGATATAGGATTTTTAATTTAACAAGATATTGTGCTTAATCTTATGGATAATTAAGAGAAATTGTTGAAGCGCTTTTTTAACAACTTAAACTAAAAGGTGGAACAGAAACTAATTTAGTGTCTTTTATGAAAATGAAAAACAACTTTGTTACATATTGGCCATTCTGGTCCAATACCTCTTCCCATCTTCTTCAATACCTCTTTGGCAAAAGCACGACTCCACGCTAACGAAACTCTTGTTCTGTTTTAGGTGAAAACTTTTACAATAATATTTTTTAAAGAGGTTTTCCGAACAGTAGTGAACTACAACAACAAAAATTAAATTTTTATTATTTTAATCAATCGAATTTTTAGCTGACCATACAGCTGTTTTGAGTATTGCCAACTACCCATCAACACTGATCTTAGAAATAATTCTTGCATTTAATTATTCGTATGTAATTTTTTTGAGACTGCAAGTACCAGGAGTCAAACTCGCGTCCTGCCAAATTTGAAATTCACAGTCAGTGCAACTTAATAATATTTTTACAATAATATCTTACACTACTCCTCCCAAAATAATGTCGTTTCCTGAAGTTTTCCGGCGAATATCGAGTCGCAGGCCGATAAGTTCGACTACTTCATCGTAACAGAGACGCTTAAAATGGGAAAAAAAATTGTGTTAATAAGTAACTTTACCCAAAAACGTTTTGAGTGGTTTGATATTTTTTGGAAAGATTAGTTTTTGCACTGTTTTCAAACCAGATTCATCAGGAAGAACTCCAGTAGCAGTAGTCTTCCGCTCAAGATATTGAATTTTGTTTTGTTCAAAAGAGCATTATCCTTCTTTAAGTAGCGACCGTTGGCTATCAGCAGTAAATTCTTTATTTATAGAACATGTTATAATTATAACAATGGTTTTCTATCCATCAAGTTACTGTTAACATATTTTAAGATTAAATAAAGAATTTACTGCTGATAGTCAACGTGCTTTGACTGATATAAACTAATCGGGTTCTAATATTAATGCTTGTTTCGTCACATCCAGCGTTATTTTTAGACCATCATATATGATTGAATGGATTTACCTGAAATTTCTTTTTATCTATTTCTAACTGCAATTCTATAGTCACGTCATAACTGGATTTCATCGTTTCTAAACAGTGACGACGCGTGCCCTATCTGGAAGGGTGTGCGGCCCTTCTTTAATGTTGTTTTTACATGTACCACTTATATTAAAATATATGAGATCTTTTATTAATAATAACTATATTATATAAGGCAACAATATATTCGCGCAATATTATATTAACAATTCATTAACAAAATAACATATTAAACAAATTAAATTAATAATTTATATACAAGTTTAATATTATATCAATATGGAAGAAACAAAACTTTTCACATAATTCTCCTAACATCAAACCAAATTTTTTCAAACAAAAGAGTTTGTACTTAGAAACATACATGTTTGTGCAGTGATCAAACAAAATCGAAACCACTTGCAATGTGCGCACAAGTACCCCGCACAATAAGAACAGAAATTCGTGGGTGCTGCTGTTAAAAGGGGAGAGACGAAATGTGATAGAAATGTATGGTGAGATGAGCTGCAAACTTCAGCCGCTCATGCAACCACTTTGGCAAATCATCATGTTGGATTCGTATGCATACAGTTGA